CTTAAAATGACCGATAGGAACATCTAGAGGTCCTTTTGAATATTTAATTAGAGAAGATGTAAACTTTAAAAAATAAAAAGCGCTAATCTGCAAGGAAAAAGCCACAAATGCACCAATACACCGACCCAAACTTTTTAATGCAGTAGTTGTGTGAAGGCCATTATTATCCTGTTCCAGAAGCGACAAAATCGCGTCCCAAAAATGCCGATGTGTGCCCACTGCCATCAGAACAGGTATACTATGAGGAAGAGACCAGCAAAATGCGTTACTGTAGTCAGATCTCAAACGACTGCCCAAAAGACTATAGCTGCCAATATAGTGAAGTGGTAATTCATCACATTCTTCTTTAAAATGTAATAATTCAAGAACTAATTGTTCTAGGTGAAACAAAACGTGTGCTGCGGAGCAGGAGATAAGATTGAAGAAGAAGATCAAAAACCTAAGTCCACCAAAACACGAGGAAGTGCAAGTTCTAATTCAAGTAAGTACAGTCATTTTGTAATGATGAGTATTTGGGCCTCAACCAATACATGGAGTATTGAAGATAATAAAATGTAGTTAGTAACGCAGCCTAGTAAATATCAATACATATCTAAGATAACCAAAATAAGGCCTTGGATTCAGTCCCTACTGCTAATTGCCTGTTTTTGCACCGAATACCGATTTTGAATTTATGAATAACTACCATTGCGTTGTGGTAAGTTATTAACTGCAGCTACAGTCGAGCATGAATTTATTTTCTTTTTGATAAATTACTCAATTTAAGTTGAATAGGTTTATGGTTCACTACTAAGTTGTTTTTAAGTGGCTCCTATAAAATTAATAACATAAATCGCTCCAATTAACCTCTAGCCTGGACCTTATCTCTAAGAATTAAATTTTCTAATGCACTCTTCAGGTCACTGTCCTTCTACCATGACACCTTATCTACTGAATGGCAAGCCCAAGTCGTGCTCGTCCAGCACATGCCCTTACGGTTTTGAATGCAAATTTTCATCAGCAAATAAGGATTACTTCTGTTGCTCAAAAGTATGGAAAAGGAACAATCACTTGAAAAAAGGTTTGAGATTTGAAAGCTTTCTTAAGGGATAACATG